AATCTCTTTGAAATTTTTTGATAAATAATGATGTAAATCACCATTTGGAGCATGCTCAAACACCAAAATATAATCATCCTCATCTGGTTTTTTTGTAATTCCAAAACATTTGTTAACAGAAAAATAAAGTTTATCATTTGCACTTAACTAAAAATTACAAAAAATAATATTTGTTATGAATTATTAAATAATAATATTTATTAAAATAACATTTCAAATATTTTACCTCCTTTATAATAGCCATGGTATAATTAACAGAAGACTTTAGCCTTTTCAATACAACTGTTTTTTCTCCAAATTTCTGAAAAAAAGGTTCATAATGATTAATCCATGTTGCTTTGTAAATTTCACTAAATCCACCTTGAGCTAAATATTCCACATCTTTAAATTCATTAAATGGAATCCATTTAATGGTTTTTGGATCTGCATTATGTTGGTGAAAAAATCTAGCTAATACTTTATTTCCATATTGGTTAGATTTCTTATTTTCATGACAACTACCACATAATTTATTATCTAATCCAGATATTTCTCCAGCTAATACATCTGTTTCTAAACCGTTTAAGGTAATTTCACTCACTTCAATTAATTTATTAAGTAAAGTTCTGATTTCATTATTATTTAACAATTTTTTTTTACAATCAATACAATTACTTATTGCTTCTAATACTTCAAGTAATTCAATTAAATTAATCAATCCAACTAATACATCATCAATTCTTATATTTAATGCATCATTTAATTCATTATTTAATTTCTTGGTTAGTGTGTTTATCAAAATATCTAAATCAATTTGATTTGGTTCAATAAAATGATAATTTAAAAATAATATTAATGTTATTATGTTGATATTGAATTTTGAAATAAATAATCAAATAATTGATGATAATTACCATTTTTAATAATATCTAAATCAATTTGATTGGGTTCTATAAAATGATAATTTAAAATAACATTAATCCTGATAATAATATTAAATTTTAAGATTAAATAATCAAACAATTGATGATAATTACCATTTTTAATACTATCTAAATCAATTTGATTGGGTTCTATCAAATGGTAATTTAAAATAATGTTAATGTTGATATTGATATTAAATTTTAAATTAAATAGTCAAACAATCAATGATAATTACCATTTTCAATGTAATTTTTAATGCTATCTAAATCAATTTCATTGGGTTCTATAAATGGTAATTTAAAATAATGTTAATGTTGATATTGATATTAAATTTTAAAATAAATAGTCAAACAATCAATGATAATTACCATGTTTAATGTAATTTTTAATACTATCTAAATCAATTTGATTGGGTCCTATAAAATGATAATTTAAAATAATTTTAATGTTGATATTGATATTAAATTCTAAAATAAATAATCAAATAATAGATAATAATTACCATTTTTAATACTATCTAAATCAATTTGATTGTGTTCTATAAAATGATAATTTAAAATAATTTTAATGTTGATATTAAATTTTAAAATAAATAATCAATTAATTACCATTTTTATTATTAATAATTGTGATTTTGTTGGAGTTTACAGGTTGAGGAAGATTTGTAAAATTCAATAATCTACTTGTATAAACAGCATTTGGATGAACAGTTGC